TATATATATATATATATATATATATAGAGAGAGAGAGAGAGAGAGAGAAACAGTAAGATTTATAATCCGGTGTTTTTATTAATTATTTTTATTTAAAAAAAAACAGTGGTCAATACAATTCTGCAGAGCGTAAATATGATAAATTTACTAATTTAAAAATATGGTTCCATCGCTACACAGGTATTACCACGTTTCAAAAAAAAGAAACTAAAACTTTAAATTTAATTCTAGAATTAAATTAAAATTCTTTAGTATTGTTTCATTTTCAAGCGATTTTTGGAATACCGTATACTCTTGGTATTGAGCCCTCATTTGAATTAATGCTGTGAACGTTAGAATTTATATTATTTTCGTTCTCATTACATTCATATATATATATTTGTGTGTGTGTGTATGTATACACGTATATGCGCATTTTTTAGGATGTATAACGTGATGATGATGTATCAAAGTTGAAAATTGACGCGTGTTGAGTTCGGATACATCAGGTCGGAATTGAAGACAAAACTGCATATAAGGAAAATGCTTTGGGATTTTTGAGGATAAGAGGAGCAATAAATTAAATTACCTTATCAGATCCGACAATAACATATGTACATTCAAATTTTATTGCAAGAATATCAAATATTTCTGGCATGCAAATCTCTTTAGCCTTTTTTTTTCCACCGGTGTTAGCTGTTGCTGTGTGTACTGATAAAACGTCAGTATTTCGAATGCTGATTTTCGGGGCAAACATATTATAAAATTATAGCAACTCAATCGTCATTCCTTAGCAACACGTTTTAAAATGCAATAAAAACCACACAAACGTCTCAGCTCATTCGAATCATTGCAAACCGTTTTATTTGCCGTTAAGCAAATTGATTTCTTCGCTACTTTACTACTTTCTCAATCAGATCGATTTTGGCTCTCAACAGAGACATTTAATCACAGTCACAAGACAAGACAATGACATCCTTTGAAGACACAGAGACCCTTGATGATTTATCTGGCCAATTTCCCGTTCAGAAAACCTTAACCCAAGAAATTCTTTCATGTCGAGAAAGAAAATATCAGGATGTATTGAAACTTTTTTGTTTTTGTTTTTTTAAATCAAGAGGAACCCTTAAAGATTAACTAAGGATCAGTATATATTATGCTTCAGTGATCAGAGCTTTTCTGAAAGTTTCTTCTAGGACTGGTAATCAGGTTGCATGTTATCCTATCGTAATTGATAGCGAGGAGCTGACCACTTCTTGGCTTTATTTAGAATTGGAAGGAAAGCAATGATGACATGTACCCTTAATCCATCATAAACATTTAGGATGTGGATTTAGTAAATTCTAAATACTTCAAATACCTCGCTGTATGGATCAGTTATAACAAATTTAGTAGAAGAGGTGAGGAAATTAAATATAGAATAGGCTGCATTGGAGTAACATAAAAATCTATGTCATGTTCTTAAATAGCCTCGTCAAATCGAGATTTTGATATGGATGCCATGGAGAACATTGAAACCGTCACAACATATCTAAATTATCGACGGTATACAACCGCTTTCTCAGATCAATGCTTAAAATGACTTTGAGCGAGTGAAGCATGTGGGCGAAGGCCACACGTCTTCCGATCTTGTGGACTGGCGTTACAGAATCACAAGCAAAGTATTATACCTTATAACAGGAATCACATCACTTGAGGACTTTCAATAACACCAGCAAAAAAGGGTAGTATACCTAAGTCGAAGAGAAAATAATGACATAATCACAATATTGTTGTTCCAGACGACTTCAACCAAATGGCTAGGAAGGAAATCCCATCAAAACTGAAAAGAGCGATAACTTGAGGAACGTATTTTCCTAAAAAAAAAATTGTTTCAACAGAGATTTTAAAAAATTCACCCTACGGCAGTATTGGCTTCTCAGTCAATGAATGCCGAATGTCTCATTAGAGGAAAACGTCTAATATTCCATTACCATTTTAAAAGACAAGGTAATATCCCTTAAATGCTGAAACCAGTTTTGGGCAATGTGCCCCTATTTGAAAAAAAATCTTGCAAATTGTTAGAATTCCATTATTGATATCTGCTTTTATAACATTTCAAGCAATCGTGCGCTTGAATAGGATTATTTATATTGATAAGATATTTAATAATAATAATATTAATGAAATAGATATTCTTTAGGTGTATGCATGAAATACACTTTGGTGCCTGTAAAAAAATTTAAAAAAAAATCCTTTTGATATATCTTAATACCTGTATACGTATGTGAAGGTCTCCAATTGTCATTTATCGGGTTGCGCAGCAGTTCTCAACATGACTGCTTGACCGATGCTGAGATTAAGTATATTGCCGTGCGTGACATTCGATAATTTGGGTCCTTCGATTCTCGACAAATCTTTGCAAGGGTGGGGGCCAAGTTTCACTGCTGACTCGGCCGGCTTTTGATGTAAATGATTAAAAACTGGGCGAATCAAATGAAACCAACGTTTCATTTGACGCCAAATAGCTGATTGCGCGATTTATTTCACATGAGAAAGGAAAAAATAAATAAAGAAACGAATAATTGAACTGCCAATATTATATGAGTGAATGTCACGTAGTATTCACTTCCGCACATTTCAAGATATACGTATTGTGTCGCTATTTGTTAAACTTAGTTTGGCACAGGTTTCCAATATTTAGGTGAGGGAGCACTTATTAAAGTTAATTTTAATAACATTACACATATACATGTGAGTTTGGTACTCGTTTCAAATTGCCATAATCCTCCGTTTCCATATAGTAAATATGTAAAACTATCATTGTAAACATAAATAAAGATGCATTTTTTGTAATCCACTCGCCCCAAGCAAGGTGATAATGCCACTAAGACGCAAGGGACTTCTAGGAGTGAAAGAGATTTTAGAAGAAACCGGAAACTCGATCCTAAACAGGAAACAATAGATAAACCCCTAATCCTGTTCAGAAGATCGGGGAGCAGTATGAAACGAACGATAGGCGAACCTATCTACTCCAATTGAATTATTTGAATAGAAATCATTACTTCTGTTTAGAATTAGTGTAGTATCTGATCACTCTGCCTATAATGAAAATGTCTTCTCTTAGTATTTCTGTTTTTTATAAGGTTACTCAAATTTAAAATTGCTAAATTAGGTTGTTGTAAGTAGGTACAAGAGAGGTGCATATTATGGGGCTAAGTAGGATAGATAAAAGTTGATACTAGAACGGAAGAGGTTAAGATTGTAGTGATCGGGGAAGCCTCATCTCGGTACTCTGTTCCACACAATGCAACAGTACTGAGGAAGAAGTTGTGGTCTAAGTAAATATTTAACTTGGGGGAAAAAAGTTGCACACACGCAAAATTGTGTACAACATTTTAATTTGATTACGAATTGTGCTAATTAAAAAAATCACAAAATACTCAAGTTGTTTATACAAATGTAATCGCTAATAAAATTCTGTCTTAATTATTGTAACCTTTTTTGCCGATTGGAAGGAAATTATTATTTTTAAGCCCATCATTGACTTTATAATTTTTAAAATTAAAAATAATAGGATATTCAAACAGATATTAAAATTTATTAGACTAGTGAGAACTTACGAGTCCAGTTTACTAAACAACAACTCTACGATAGGCGCCCCTGAGTTTTATTAATATTAATTGGAGAATCGAAACAAAAATTCTCGATATCGACAAGAAAATCGATTTTAAGTATTTTGTTTAGTATGGCACAAATTATAAGCGTGGACCACGCAGAGAGAACCGAACTCACTAAACTAACATTTGCCCTATTGTAAGTTTAGGTTTTATTAGTAGGGCGCCTGTTTACAATCAAACTCATTACACAAGTAATCGTATACAAAGTTTACCAATAACTGCTTAGTAACCTTGGCATATTTGCGAAGGATATTAGAATAATCCAGAACCTATACTGGCAGAAAAACCGCCTGTATATGGAGAGAAAATGTATTCAGTAGAAAAATCGAAAGGAGTGTAAGACAAGGACGTCTCTTCTCACCGGACTTATTCAACCCATACAGTGAGGCAATTCTGAAGGAATTAGAAGTCCTACGAGGATTCATTACTGACGGCCACAGGCTTAAGAACATAATATATGAAGATAGCATAGTGTTGCTACCAGACATGGAAAGAAAACTAGAAGAACTCCTGCAGAAGATAGTGAAGGAAAGCGAGAAGAAAGGTCTAAACATCAATTGCAAAAAGACCAAATATATAGTTCTTTGCAAAGACAACAGCATAACAAGGAAATTACAAATTGGAGATACCAAAATAAAAGAAGTACAAAAATTTAAACATCTGGAAAATGTTTTAACAGAGGACGAAACCTCCTGATATCTGAAGGTGAATTGGAATAACGGAAGGTGCTTTCCGAAAACTAAGCAAAGTATGAAGAAAGAGAAAAATTTCGTTAGAAACAAAGAAAAGTGTATTGAACTCTTACGTAATATCAGTTCTCTTGCATGGCTGTGAATGCTAGACAATCTCCTCACAAATTAAGAAGAGACTTGAAGCAATAAAAATGTGATTCTACAGAAGGATGCTGAGAATACCATGAACCGATCATGTGAAGAAAGTTTTAGAGAAAAATGGAAACAAAAAGGACTCTTATTCTTAGCATCAGAGAAAGTTGAAATTTCTAGGGCACATTATAAGCAAAGATGTCTGGGAAAATTTGATACTCACGGGACAAGGCAAGTGGGGGGGGGCAGGAAAACTTCGCATAACCTGCCTAATGAACTTAAGCAAATAGATGTCAGAACAGAGATTAGGAAAGATAACAAAAATGACAAAATTTATTAAAAGCTACAAAAGATAGAAAATTGTGGAGAGCCATATTTGCCTACGTCTTGACGGGACACCGTACATAAAAGAATAAGCTTGGCATGTCTCTGTATATTAAGAATATAATTCGTACGAAATAAAACTTTGAAATTTTTTTTGTTTGTTAAAACCTTTGTATTTCATGAAATTGACTCATTTCGTGTTTTCTTCTACCAGCTTTCAAAATACAGATATGGTGGATCGAAGAGCCAATATTTACAACGTTTCCAGACCGAATTGATCGAGATCTTTTCGCATTGGAGCCTGGAGAAGGAACAGTGGAATTACAGAATGAAAATCTGAAATTGTCTCAGAACCTGAGTGGGTCACCTGGTAAGTGTAATATTGAAAAGACATTGGAAAAAAGAGATTATTTCCATAGTTCCAGATTAAATCAATTTCACCAATGATCCATTTTAGGTTTTTGAAAAACAAATCGAAATAGCAAGGGAGTAAATACAGGGCATAATAAAAAACAAAAAAACAAAAACAATTTCTTATCAAAACTCATTTAAAGGCCGCCAGGGAATGCGCGGGTTATGCAAGGGATAGCGGCTCGGAAATCAGAGAGCTGAGTTCGAATCCCGGTCGTGTTAGTTGCATAGACTTTCTCACTAAAACGCTTGGGAAATGTATGAATCCAACTCTTTTCCCACAGCAATGGGTCAAACAGTAGGATTTGTATCCGGGAAAATCATTATTACAGGTATAAATTCTTTCCAAAAATTCTATGAACCAGCACGGTAGAGGAATGCTCACAAAACTCATATGGCAATGCGAAATAAAGTCTGGGGAGAGATGATTTACGTGAGTGCACATTCTGCAGGGGAGATTGATATATATATATATATATATATATATATACAGAGAGAGAGAGAGAGAGAGAGAGAGAGAGAGAGAGAGAGAGAATGCGCCAGAGAGCGCCAGCCAGCCAAATTTGAACATTAACCTTGATGACAAAATATTTTTTCTTTATACAATATGTATATCTTAAAAAATTAATGTCAGCTAGTTTATAATTGTAGTTAAAATTTATTTATATGCGTAAAAAATGAAAGTACCTTAAATGTATATATTTTACGGGTATCATTATTTTAGGCAGCAATTTGTAAAGTTTTATTTTCCCCCCTTTTCTATGTTGACATAACTTCTTTCTGCTTTTATACAAAGATACAAAAATAGGATCAGTAATATCGGGGTGAGCGAGAACGTTGGTACCTCCCTATCATTATTAGGTAACAAAGTGAAATGTAACTTTCTTTATTCTTAGTAGTAACTACCCGCATTACCATAACAAAAATATCGCTAAGATGTGTCATTTTCTTCTGTGTTACTTTAGAAACACAACTTTTCAGTGGCCTAGCAAATTTCCAAACTTGAATCTAGTTGGAAAATTCAGGTAAATCTTGAGAATTCGAACTCATTAGAGGGACCTTTAATGATTTTGAAGGTCATTTATAAGAACGTGTTGGCAAATATTTCGGAGAGAGCTTGTGAAAATCATTTCTGAACAATAACCGTAAAGAAGATTTCATAAAAGCAAATATGAAAATATGAAATCAACGTTTTCCTAATATCTTTCTCCACTGTTAATTTTGCTTATATTTTATCCTGCATTGTATATTTGAAAATATCTGTTTTCTTAAAAATTCTCTTGTTTTATATCAATATCATCTGTATAGGCATAAGGAAAATGTAGACATCGGAAGTATAAATGAATAAATATTTTACAAGGGACAAAATACTTCTTAAACAACCACAGGAGATTAGAAGGCGCTACTCAAAATTTCGGCAAATTCGAACAATTTTGCAAACGAATATATATTTGCCGTTACTTTTATGAGCAGTATTTATTTGTGAGATGACTCTATCCATATTCAAGTAGATTACTTCAAAGGCGACAGTGAAAGTAGGTATTATCATAGGACGTAATTATTTTCTGATACTTTGAAGGTTTCTACTTCTGCAAGATTTCAAACATGGACTCCTTCTAATTCATCTCAAATAGATTTTGATATAAATTATTAGTTAGTAAGACCAAAACCAATTTCGAACATATATTGAAGAATATTATATAAACAAAAAGTGAAATTGAAAAATATTTTTTGAGCACTATTAGAAATTGGTTCCTTCTTAAATGACAAAAATGTCATTTAAGAAGGAATGCAGTTTTGATTTTTCTGCGCTGGTATAAGAACTCTTGGACTCTTCCAGTGTTTCTTCAGATTGGGAATGATGCTAATGGATTATTGCAATAAGGTGATCATTGTTATCGGCTCAACCGCTTCCTAAAATCGAACCAAGTGACCAAACATCAGAATTTATTCTTGGTCAGACCGAGAACTTTTCAGTATTTCTTCGTATTTTTATCTCACCTTTATATGGACATTCTTTTAAATGATGAATTTAGAAAAATGTCGCTATTCTAGATTCAAGAGAAAGCTATTGCAAATGAATACAAACATTGGTTATCTTCACTGATTATTAGAGATTGTAACTTTTTCTATTCATTAGAAATAAAAAATGGTTGTGAAGTTATTTTATTGATTAGTCAAGTACATGTTTCATACGAATCTTTTTATTTTTCAATTTTCAGTCTTTGTTGGCGTGTCCACATTTCGCTATCCGTCATATTCTCGTGTTTTACCAAATCATTTATTCAAGAGGTGAGTATCTTTGTTTCTTTACTCTTTGATTCCATAGGGACGCAAAGTATGTCATTAGCTTCTAGCTGGTCATTTTCGATGAATAATTCTTCTGTCATAAGGGAGATAATCGAATTCAAACTGAGGCTGGCAAATAGGAAGCATGGAAACATAATGTGGCAAGAATTTCCATTTTGCAAATTGTACTATGATTAAGAAAATAAAATTGCATCATCAGATGATGCTGATATTGACCTGAGTCTATAATATGCAATGCTCGGGGCTCTTCAGATAAAACGGAGAATTTCTTCGGGGGTCCTGCGATGTGTTAACACTCATATAAGTATATCGTTTATTTCAGAGATCTTGATAGTGATTCATATTGCCATAAGTTCCAGAGTAGTGAAATATTTCTTGCAATGAGATATCATGCCATGGACATACACGATACCCCTGTTCAGTTAGAGTTAGCATACGGTCGAATCACGTGATCCTGTGCGATCACCGAAGTGAAGCAACGTCGAACATGGTCTGCACCTAAATGGGTAACCGCTTAGAAATATCACGCGCTGTAAGCTTGGATGTGCGGGTGGTTTAATCGATATTGGTTCGAAATTTTTAATAGGAGTCCCGAGTTCCAATTTTCCGTGAGTTCGTTATCTTCACTTACGCTCAAATAAACTTGGGAAAGGCATGAATCCAACACTTCTCACCCAACTATGCGTTAATTAGTAAGACTTGTACACTTAACCATTATTATCTCCCCCACAGAAAATTCTTAGAATCTAAAAATATTTTCTGGCTTTAAATAATCTGCAAAAGGTTGAAAAGTCGTAGAAAACGAATCAATCAATTAAAATGATTTTAGAGCAGAGTTCTCAGACCACGGGACGCATGTGACAAGCTAACTGCCTTTATGTCATTTCCATGATAAATATTTTCTTTAAATTTTAATAAATCTGTCCTCAGCCGCTTCCATACTTTCGTATTGAACTTGACCTACGCACCAAGTGCAAAGGTAGATTCAATCAATCTGGGAGAGGAACTTGAATAGCGCCTGAACTAGAATGAACGTTCGGTTCAATGCTGGTCATTTTGTCTTGTTCCAGTACGCTGATTTTAATTTTCCTGTTTCCCCAACTGATGTTCACGACACTTCGAAGACAACGCTGGTGAAACATTTCAAGGAATTTTGAATGTCGTCGATAAGTTGTCCAGGTTTTCACATCCGCAACAAATATTGAATGCCTTGGACTAAATATCAACGCAAATAAGACATACAAGTCATCTATCAACAAGAGATCAACTGACATCACCCCCCCACACGCACGCACACAAAATGTCTGTCTAGACAATCTGTATTCATTTTGAATATCTTGCTAACCGTAGTCTTACCGTAACGAGGTAACCATCAATCAAAACAGATTTTACTATGTATGAACGAGGTTACTCATATGGCAGTGAAACGTCATTGAAGGAGCTTGTGCACTGGGTGACGGTGCGATTGTCTATTCTTTAAGTCTCGTGCAGAAATTACGTTTTATCAAACCATCACATCACTCAGCAAGACCGTACCCTACTTCAACTTGTATTTGACTCCTCATAAGTTATGGTTTTTGCAAAAGCTAACATTAACGTTGAAAGTCAAACTTGTGCCACGACTAAATGATATTCCTTTGCTCTTAGACACCCACTATGGGTTATAGTGAAGCATCAAAATCATCCTTCCATGAAAAACACAACTAGAGAGATGATGGCGATCCTAAAAGAGGTCTCTGTAGATTCTTTGAAAATGGCAGATAGAACTTTGAACAAGACTAAAGCGCCTTACTTAAAGGCTAATATTAAATGGCGAGATTTTTTCAGAATAATTTCATATGAGGGGGTATTGAAGAGTTCTCGGCTTTCTCCGGTTCCTGAGCAAATGACCAAGATAGATATACTGGACGTTAGAAATTTAAATTTAAAGCTTAGGTTGCACGTATTTAATATTTTCTTAAAATATAAAATTGGAACCGGAAATTATAGTGTCTTCTTTTTCCGCCTATACATTATATGAAACTGACGCCATCGATAAAAATAATTAGTTTGAAGAACTTCCTATTGGGCACTTTTTCTACATTTTGTCATTTGGTTATTCACTATTGTGCACGTATAAATATATATGTATTTACTTTATTTAGTATCTGTCTATATTTCTGAAATGAGGTATTATGTACACTATTTACATTGTTCGGACTATCATCCTCATCTTTGTTGCCATATTTATCACAACGTTTCAGCCGTTTTCCGCTCCAGCCTTCTTCAGAAGATTGGAATGTCGAACTGAACCCTTTATTTCGCTCACTGGGGTAGACTGTTCTAGTACCACATGCCATGTCTAATGGATGTCAGTTATCTAATGTTAATTCCCATCTCCAAGTGGCCCACCGACTTAGCCACGTATTGAACTCACAACTGTTTGGGTCCTGTCACTGGATCTAACTAACGTCTTTATCTACTGTGCCATGTTGTCGTTTATTTAAACGTCCACTATTACAATGTTTTGGTCGTTGTTCCCTGATGAAGAACGGAGAACACAACGGTCGAAAAGCTGTGATAGCAACAACTAAGATAAGGACAAAAGTGCGCGGTGAAAATAAGCTAAATAATAGTTATTCATCCCAGAAATTCAAACAGAAATTATGATATACATACTTGTATATTTACACACACACACACACACACACATGTATATATATATATATATATATATATATATATATATATATATATATATATATATATACACACATATGTGTGCGTGTGTGTGTATATATATATATGTGTGTGTGTATGTGTGTGTGTGTGTGTATTTAGGCTTCATATCTTTATTCAAGCATATTTGGTTGAATAATCAAGACATATGTGTATTTATTTTTATTTTAATCCTCTCAAATTCACGGATCAATTTCTTACTTTTGTTACAAAACTGTTTAAGAAAGACGCAGTAGTTTTGGTTATTTCTTTTATTTTCCAAGGTAGTTTCAATCTCATCCAAGATCATCTTCACGGTTGAATTGCTAAGACAAAACATTAACCTAATTGATAGTTGCAAATTTTTTTGTAAATGAATGTACAGTTCTTTATTGGTGATTCTGTAATGCCAGTCCACGAGGTTTGAAGAAATATCTTCCTCGCTTAGATATGTAAGCTTCATTCGCTTGAAGCCATTTTTAACCATTAATCCGAGGAAGTGCTTGTATATGGCTGACAGTTTAAATATTACTCAAAGAGTTTGGCCCCTTGAATAATATCTTTATGAAAGTTGCGACGAAGCTATTTAAGATCACGATCCGAGCTTTTAGGTTAATGTTTTCGTTTTGTAGCAATTTGCTGTGTTTTGCGAAACTACCGGAGCACATACTGTTCGCTGTTAAAAGTATCCGGTGTTAATGAGAGATTTATAAAAATTCAGTATTAATTATAGGTTTTTGCTTAGAGCTGATTAATTCCAACACTGACCTCCTCCTCCGAAATCTGATATAGTACACTAATCACAATACCTGAACAGGTAGATGCACACGTTCACACAACCACATGAGAGAGAAACGTTTTGTTAAGCTCTTCATAAAAAGGAAACAAAAAATTATGCAATTCCATCTTGTGTCGACGTGTGTCAACGTCTATGGAAGGACCTAATAATCAATATTTATTGCCCTATCATCATGTAACCAACGCACAATGAAGAGATAAATTATTATACAGCTCATTAGAGGAGCAGACAATTTCCAATCGAGCAATTCAACACTCAACATCTCACTTTTCTGCATTTTGCCAGCGTTATTTTCGCTGATCTCCGTTTTAGTCGGTCAATTCAGAATTGACTCTATTTTAAGAGATATTCTTCGTGTTTTCATCGAGGTTGTTTGAAAAGGGTCCTATCTCTGGTCATTAATTATTGAACAGAGCAATGTGTGTTCATTTTAAAAAGACCTTTTATTATGTGCAGATTTTTTACTAATCTTCATTCGCTATCTTTCCATATTCCATCAACTTCGATTGATTGACGCTTCTTTTTCTTCTTTCTTTTTATGTGCCATGTCCTTTCAGAATGTAGGCGATCATGGCTCTCCACCTCGCTCTATCCCTTGTAGCTCTCAACAAGTTCCCACTCTCTGCTATCTCCCCCTGACCACGTTCTGTCATCCACCTGCTCAAGCCCGCCAGGAATGTCACGCACTGCTTTCTCTTGTCTCTCTTTCCCACTATTCAATCCGTGGGTATCAGATTCTCCAGGCTCTCCGTCCTCGTTATGTGTCTTAGAAACTTCAGCTGCCTCTTCCTGATGTTAAGCATGAGCCACCTCTTTGTCTGCATTCTCTCTAAGACCTCATCGTTGCTCACACGCACGGTCTACAAAATTCTCAGCATCCTTCTCTAGAACCACATCTCCGTTGCCTCGTGTCTTTTCTTCATCCTTGAGGAGTTCGTTCAGCTTTCGCTGCCGTAAAGAAGAAGCGATAAAAATAAGAAAAAGAAAACGATGTCTTTGGAAAAATATGGTAAATATTGAATGATAGCGATGGGTACTAATGATGGAAAGAGAAATAGGGAAAGCGAGAGAGATATTAAAAAAAAGTGTCATGAATAAATGTGGAAAGTAAATATCCCGGGAAAAGAAAAAAATAAGGAATTTTAATAAAGAACTGACACTTGTCTCATTTTGAAGTAAAGTCTAGCAAGCACATTTACAGATTAATTTCTTCATTTGTGGCTTTGTTCTAGACAAAGTTAAGATCAGTAAACATTAAGCTTAACACGACGAGAAAAGGTTGCACTGTGGTGTGGCTGTGCCGTCGGGATTTGTCAGCGTCGTATCTTGCGTCTTAAGGCATCAGATGTGTTTCTATGCTAGTCACGGCTCTAAGAGTGTTCATGCCTTTCCAACAAGCTATTCTATCAAGTCCTTCTCCGCTTATGCTGTGCTTGAAAGATTTACAAAACGAAGATGACACAATTTGGCCGGAACTACTTCTGATGGTCAGGGTAGCTCGTACGAGTTATTAGAAGGATCAGCAACTTAAGAAATCAAGAAACTCTCCGTTAACAATTAACAAAAATATTTATTGTAACACGATTGAGAAACAATACATAAAGAATAAAAAATGTTAATTTTGGTCAGATGGTTATTGAAATATATAAGTTCTTTTTAATGTTCCTAAGTGGGAGAAAAAGAAAGACAAAAATCGTTTTGTCAGCACTATGGCTATAGCAGTAATCGGCATGTAATTATCACAATTTGAGTAGTTGGTTTAGAGTCTGGGATTTTCTTCAATAATCCGGGTCTTCACAATGTCTTCAACTAGTTGGGGAGAATCTGGTGTCGGAGGGGAAGATATTCTTCTTGACTTTTCGTCTCCGGTCTACTTTTTGTAAAACTCAGTGCTTTAGCCTTTATGGATGAAATTTTCGGACCAAAAATTCTTCTGATTGGTGATCCAATTACAGACCATTTCGTGTCATATTCTCATTGGTCAACCAACCATAGTTCTGGTTATAATCTACGAAAGTGGGAGAAACCCCCTTTCTAAATAACTGATTCGGCATTGCTTTTATTTATTACATTCTTATTGACCTTTAAGTCTAATGGCAGCCAGGATGCTGGAAGTAGGTCAAATGCAACTTATGCATGTGCTGTGAAGTTTAACAGTTTTTTGAACTCATTACCTCGCAGTAACCTTTCAATATAGATACCGACTACGGAAGCAAAAAATAAACAATCTGTGTCTTGAATTTTGACAGACTTATTAAACCCAGTGACATTTAAAATAACCAAATCCTAGGAAAATGTCTGCTCTCAACGAAATCCTATTCTTGATAGAATTTTGTTAGAAAAGGAAAGACAAGATTTTCTTAATAATTTTAAGTGCCAATTAATAACCTCATCGTGTTACAGCACGAAAGTACAAGCCAGACGCGTAGATTTTTTAAAATCGTAGTTTTATGCTAATTTTATGCTATTTAAGTATATACAAAACTATAAGGATTACGGTCACATTCGTTGTAACACCAGTTCCCATACAATCACTGAAGTTAAGCAACGTCGAACCTGGTCATTACCTAGATTAGTGACAGCACAGGAATACCAGGTAGGGTAAGTTTGGATGAGGGATAATGGCTCAGAATTGTTAATCGGAGAACCGCGTTCCAATTCCGGTTGGGTTCGTTATATTCACTTACCCGGGAAAGGTATGGATCTATCTCTTCTCACCCCAGGTATGGGTTCATTAGGAAGACTTGTGTCACTAAATCATTAAATCTCAAAAAAAAAAAAAAAAAAAAATTCTTACAATCTAAAAATATTTTCTGACTTTAAATAAACTGCAAAGGGTTGATAAGCCGTAGAAAAGGAATCAATCATTTAAAATACCTTGCTTGCTACACGGACACGTCTTCTCGATTTATTTACATTCTCTGAAATATATATGAATAGAAATACCGTGTCCACAAAATGGGGGATCAGTTTATATATTGATTGTAATATAGAATTGATCCCCCACATTATAATTTCTTGTTTGTTTATCAAGTTCTGATTAGGTATGAATCCATTTAATTGGTAAAACTTGTATCACTGAACCATTATTATTTTAAAAAATTGTTATAGTCTAAAAATATTTTCTGGTTTTGAATAACCTAGAAAGGATTGATACGTCATAGAAAACGAATAAATCAATCATAAACCAAAACTATAAAACTTTTGCATTATAAAAATAATGAAAAGAGAAGAAAAAAAAAAACAAATGAAGGTTTCTAAATTGATTATATTTTAACAATATGACTCTTCTATGAGCCTTCCATGCTAAATAGAGTTGGGAATTCTTTACCCCAAGTTGTCTCTATTTATCGCCATTTTTTCTTTTCTAGAAATAATGCTTTGATTGATTTGTTTTCTACGGTTTATCAACCCTTTGTAAGTTATTTAAAGCCAGAAAATATATTACAGCACCTAGCATTCCCAAGCAGTCACCCATACTTGGCGGGATCGACGTTGTTTGTTGAAACAAACTTTAAGATATTAATAGACGCTAATCTCCATTGAAACATCAATTAATTACACCCACGTTTTAAATGTCAATATGTCGTCTACGATACGATTGAAATATTTTTTTTATTTCCCAGCGGTGCCAGAGATCGTTGACTGACTTAAGTTAACAAGCAGATTTTCAAGGAAGGTAGGCCCTCCCTACTGAGAAAGATTGTCTCAATACATTTTCAGTACTCCTATATTTGTAAGTTTCGCCTTACCCGAGATTAATATAAACTGTTCGTATATATCAAAACTTCTCCTTCCTTGCTTCTGATTTTATTGAAAGTTGAAAGGGCTAAGTAGTCTTAAGGTTTAACGCGTTCGGAATAAACTTAAAGTAAGTTCAAATCCTGGTTAAATTGCCTCAGCGCTTTACAGTGAAATCTTTGAGAAATGAATCAACGCTTTTATCCGTGCGACTTGTGTGATTGGCAAAGATCTTGCTGAAGGTATCATCACTACAATGCTAGGATTGTCTGTGGATAATAGAGTTTATTCGCTTCAGGGATTCTAATATAAAAGACATACTGTATATACTCGTGTATAAGTCTACTTGATGTACAACACAACCTCTGAATTTTTTGTGAAAAACCTGATTTTTTATAATACGATCCCAGCTTCTGAGCAATTCTAATAGGCCTACAGTAGTGAAATATTGCAGTACTGGGCATCATTCTGGACATATTTTATAGCAAATGAATGGCTTTCATATTTTTTTCACAAAGCTACCCCAAAATGATGAGAAAAATCACTTACCGTAAAATACCTAATACGAAAATTTAGACACCATGGTTTTATTATCGTTCAAGCCTGACTATTGTAGCTCCTTTACTCTGATACTGTCTCCCTACCTTGCCGAAGTTTCTTCCTTTTTTGTCGCCTCATGAAAAGTAAAACCTCATCCACTACGCGTGGCACATAAAATCAATAAATACCTCATATAAATGAAGTATTAATAGATTTTTTTCTGTCTCAAATTAGCATTTATCTTCGTTTTGCAAGTGTTTACATCACTGAGGCATTTCCTTTCCTATGACAACCTTTTTGTCAGGATTCATTCAGTCGATCATGTATATTTCGATATATGACTGACGAGGCAGATTTTTTTCCCCGCAGTAGGTTGCCATCTCTTTCTGCGGTAGACCAGTTGCCATCCAAGGCTATAGAACCCGGTCTGTCCTGCTATTTACTCATAGCTAGGGGGAAGAAGAGGATACATACCTTTTCCAAGGGTATTAGCACGTAAGTGACCGGTATATAATGTAGGATGTCCCACAAATTGTGGTACATACTTCCGGTTATGGTAATTCAAGTCATTCTAAGTAAAAACTACTCTATACACATATACTGTTTTTGCTTTAGTTTGCAAGAAACGGTAGTTGTTTAAATATATACTGTGCTGTGTTTTTGTATGTGGAAGCGCTTACCGAAATTCATGATTTTAAAAAATTACCTGCGACCTCTTATTTTTTGCGTAAAAACTGATCATATGAATTCGCCCTATACTCGTGAAAAAAAAATGGGCGTGGTCTTGTGGTAGCTGTATACGCATCTGAACTGACCCATTGGACCTGTGCACAGCTTCTAATTACTTTTACGAGGTCCGGTCGAAGGCCAATGCAAGGTGAAATTCTGAATGGTTTTCTCTCTGCATGCAAAATTGGAGACAAAGATCGAATAATGAAACCAAAGAGGCCGATGTACGCCTTATTTCAATAAATTCCTGTCAATGATGAGAAATCGAGGCTGATTTTCTCTTATTGATTGATTCGGACTTAGGATTAAGTTCGATTGAGCTAGCCATATTGCCTTTAATTTGACAAACTGTATTTGTCGACCAGAATCCTAGCTTTCAATGATTGATCTTTGTTCGAAGTTCATTGATGAATAACTTGCTGGCTTCGTTTCAACACATTTTTGCTGACATCAGCTTAAAAAATAGACTTGCGAAGAAAGAAAGAAAAATGGAAAGACATTAAGCATAGAAAAATGAAGGAAAAAAATGAACAAAGAACAAAAATACATAAATACTTTGCATACCTGTGTAAACGTCGATCATACTAATTTTAGTACAGAATTCTTTCCTATTCTTTTATAAGAGTTCTTCGTGGTTTTTCAAGAATATGAAAACACTAAGTTTCTGCATTTATGCAAACGCGTAGGAATATAAACATTATTGAGCAGTGATACTAAAGACAAATCGGTTAAAAAACTGTCTTGAATTTGAGAATGAAAGCATAGAAAAATATACTCCATATTTATTACAACGACGCAGATGAATATTTTTCAAGGAAAACTGAAATAATTTTTATTTGAAATTATTTAATGCAAAATGTTGAGACCATTGTGTTTTTCATTCGCACTAATTCTCGCTTTGATTTTGTTATTACTAAAACACAGTGTTGAATGATAAAATTCACAAATATTCACTATACCAAAGAATTATTGTAAGCAATAGAAAACAAATATTAAAAAAACAAAACAAAACGAAATAACCGTTAAAGTTCAAAATGCCTCTTCGACAAATTCGAACGTACGTCCTCTTCCATTAAAATAGGTTATGTTCAAACATAAATAAACAAAACTCAGTCATTTGAATAAATGCATAAATAATTTAACAAGTATAATAATATATCAAATATTCATAATAAATTAATATGAAAATATAATATTTCGTAATAATACATAAAAGAATTGTACCAAAATAAGCTCATTAGATGATACCTTTAAACGACAATTGATGTATAACCACTAAATCAAAGTTTAAAGAACGGAATTATAATAAATGAATAGATACATAGATATAAACAAATAGATAAATAGATAGATATGAAGAGTGAGGTAGATAGATACGAACAGACTGAGATAGATAGATAGATAGATAGATAGATAGATAGATAGATAGATATAGATATGAACAGAGTGAGGTAGACAGACATGAACAGAGGTAGATAGATAGATACAAAAGACTGAGGTAAATGGATAGATATGAACAGACATAGATATATAGATAGGCAGATAGATATGAACAGATAGGTATATACATACACACAGATATTTTATATATATATATATATATATATATATATATATATATATATATATATAAAAGTAATGCAAGTGAATCCTAGTAATATAAAATATTAAAACTGATCCACAAAAAAGAGCTCAATGTATTTATTATACAGAGCAAATACATAGTAGTAAACCAAAAAATCCAAAATTACCTCATATGGTGTATAGACCTATACAGACTGAGTTCGTGTCGGAATTAGAAATTTAACTGTGTCAGATTTCGAAAAATTGATACAGAATTTAGCCATTTCAATGTTTCAATCAGACGAAAGGTACGAGTCGATGGTCAGGAGAGGGTGGAGGGTATTAGCCTTAAAATGAAGAGGTTTTATAAAATTAAACCCGGATATTAAACTTTGATATTAAATTAGGGTTATATGAAGAATGAAGTGTCAATCTGAAACTAAGAGAGGAACGAAAAGGTTTTTTTTTTTAATAAAATTATATAGATAAGATTAAGTTCCTAATTCAAGTTCCTACTTAAAACACTCTTCCAAAGATGAATTATATTTAAAGTAAAATATATTTTATAAATTAAAAATAAGTTTATTTAGAAAATTTATATTAAATTTAAGTAAGATTATATTTTTTAAAAATTTATAATTAAAACTCTTAAAATATATAGATAAAGAGGTGTAAGGAATAAAAGAAAGAGAGTTCTTAGAACAGGGGACAATTTGAAAGTATAATTAATATAGTGTCAAAATTAGAATTAGTTATACATTCGATATTTGAAGAGTTAGAGTAATATAGTAGCTAATAAAGTAAAATCTATATTAAGGCAATTTGAATCTATTTTTATGTCGACATTTTAAAATGTCGACATAAAAATAGATTCAAATTTTATTAATATAGATTTTACTTTATTAGTTACTATATATCATTATTTGCTTAATATAAATTTTCTTTTTGTTGGCAGAAAGATTGTCATTCTATAAGAAGGCGTCGATTCACTCATATCATTGTTCCAACTGGGTCACTAGGTTGAAAGTGAAAGAGGGAAAATTAGGAAACTTTTCTCAACCTGTCAAAAGAATTGGAAAAGTATTGCGTCCATTATTATTCACACGTGCAAAATGGTCCCGAAGACTCTTGAAAAAGACTGGAAGAACTGGAAAGCCGAGGAAGAATCGATTCAAATTATTAATTCACTAAAGTCAGAAGAGAATTCTGGACTATAAAGGAGACATTCTGCTATTTAATTACCAGTTACAAGCTATCGGGTGGAGATTCATTTAATAAATTGACAATAGAAAGATAACTACTTTGCTTTGTCAACCTGCTTTGGATTTTCTCTCGTGACATATTGGCTAATAATGATCGAAAGACACGTATTTTGCCATTCAAACTAATTTTATGCATAAATAACAATAATTTTAAATTTGAACAGATCTACCATTATAGGCCATGAAGTCAGATCCTGTCCTTGTAACTAAGAAGATAAAATTGCCATTGAATTTTTAGCCGACCCCAGAATAAAATTTAAAATGAAAAACTGAATAAACTTCTGCGCCTTGCGAAAGTGCAGCAAAGTAACTTTTGAAGGCGATAGTAGTGACCATCATTATATGAGCACTTGAAACAGACTAAAAAGCCTTGCAAAGATGATAAATTAGAAAATGTGGCCAAAAATTAAAACCGTTCACATGATAGCGCTTCTAGAATCATCTTAGATACTGATGAATTTACTGAATTATTAAGATGAAATAATTACAAGATAGCGATAATGGGGAGAAGGGAGGTCTAAAAGGGAGATGATCAATTCTCTATCTTTCCTTGTTTCGGAGACAACAAGCTTGAAGACACGTGTCTATTCTCTTGGCTCAAAAGACAGAAGAGTTCAACCCTTCTTTCGGAATCGTAAAATACCCAAATGAAAATCCAATATCCAGCCAGAAAAATTCTGAAAATTCATAGAACATTTCATGAATATTGATTCATTAGATACTGCATTTTGCGTCTTACAAATTGGCTAATTCATGGAAGAAAAGATTGTCATTTACGCTTTGTATCATGAAGAATGGAGTTCACAGGTGAAGAAATCCCCCCCCAGACATTTACAACTGAATCCAGTTGATGAGGAACTAGCGTATTTAGTGTCGTTTCCTGCTATTTTGTGGAGGCATTTTATCTCGTTTTATCTCTTTGCTTTACAATATTCAACGGGGAAGGAATTGTAACGACGCCCATTATCGGTTCCATCAATGTGCATTCAACGTTTTATATAATCCATAAGTAAGAAACCTCATAAAATTAAAAAGCTCTTATGAATAATTCATATACGTATGTCTGCATTCACACAGATTCAAAGCTCACATAAAAGGAGGATCCGTAAAATGAGAGCATTTAACTGCAGGAAACGCCCTTTTGACGCCAGGTCAGCAATATGCTCCTCGACCAATCAGCAATTAGTACGGCTTCATTTCAGTGTGTCTTGAAATATTTCTGTACTCTTTCTGGTCGTTCATTCACGTTTGTCCGTTGATCGATGTGTTCAATTGTAATAACGACCCACAGCTGATAAATCAAAGGGCACATTCGATTAGCTGATCAATCATAAATTGTCACCGGCTAGGCTTACATAATTTTCCATCTTCCATCATCTAATTGCAAGCGAAAGCGCACAACATCTCATAAAGAGATCTGCATAAATGAATAAAACTTTATAAAAAGTTTGTGATTCGGATCTAAAATCTAGAGTCGACCCAGTTAATCTTGTGATCATTAATTCTTCTAAGCATTTTTTGAAACAATACAATGCATAAAACATAAATGTAATTTCTGAAATATTCATTTAATTAAATAGATGTCAAACTAAAACTAAAACATTTTAATAATTTTCTGATGTCTAATAACGTTGCGATACAAAAATAGGTTAATTCAAAAACTGAACTTGATTTGAAGAAGTATTAAGAGAAATTATGAATTTGTGGTGTCTTTGAATCGTTTGTCAATATGGAGAGGTTTTAATTTGACTGCTGACTTGAGATGGAACAAATACATTGAGTCAATTGCTTCGTCCACCGCAAGGAAAGTTGGCTCCCTGTGCCGCGCCAGGAAATTTTTCTCCCCGGAATCGATCCTTCAGATCTACAAATCAACAATTCGCCCTTGCATGGAGTATTGCTGCCATATATGGTCTGGAGCCCCTTCTGTTTGCCTCGGGGTTCTTGATAGGCTCTATAAGCGGATATGCAATATAATTGGCCCTGATCTGGCATCTCGTCTACAGTCACTTTCTCACAGACGCGCCTTTGCCTCTCGCTGTCTTTTTTACATATACTTTCATGGTAATTGCTCCGAGGAGTTGCATTCGCTGGTTCCCAGACTTCATGAATTCAAGCGCCCTACGAGGCTGGCATCCCGCTCTCACCCTTTCACTGTCGAAACTCTTAAATATAGCCGTCTCTTCTACTCCAATAGCTTCATGTCTCGCACCTCACGCCTGTGGAACTCCCTTCCCTATTCCAGTTTCCTTGAGAGCTATAATCTCCAACTATTCAAATGTAATGTCAATCAACATCTCCAGTTGCCTTGATCTATCCACTATCCTTCTCCTCATCCTTTCCTCTATCACTCCTATCTGATCTTGCTCCAAATCTTCTGTAACCCCTTGCGTCCTAGTGGCTTCCCGCCTTGCGTGGGGTGAAACGCTTAAAAAAATGTTAAATGTCACTTAGTTTGCCTGAAAGCCAAATAGAGTGAAATTTCTCCAAGATTATATTGCATTAAGCGTTGAAAACGCCGTTTTATCTGCCTTGAAAATTCAATATTCTGGGGATAACCACTGACGTTGGTGACAAATCTATAATTAACTCCTCAGGTAACACATCGGCACATTTATTTTTCTTATTTGATACAGTTCTGAAAGTCATTTTAATAGCTCATGACAGCGCAACGATTACCCTGGAGCCGGGGGTGAGATTTTTTACTGTCGACGGGGATCACGTTGCAGCATTGATACTGTTGGTCAAGTTAGAGGGTCGATCACTTGTAGCAATGTTCACCTGTGCACTTCCGTTGATTGTAAATGTCGGGTAACAGAGATCTAGATAGAGCTGAAACATTGAGACTTGTCATTGGTTTAATTGGTTGGGGATCGTGTAGACTGACCAATAAGAGAGCGCATTTTACCTTCTCTTTACCCAATGAATGCTGTAGGGACAAAACGTGTCCCCAGAGAACCACGTTTCACAGTGAACACAATACAGCATACGCATGCTCTAAGCTGGTAACTACAATAAAACAACACAAAACTCCTCACCAATCTTCAGTTTTACACAAATCTTGCACACGAATTAGGATGTTTTTATATATGCACACTTCCATTCAACTATTTTTATATCCATTCTAAGACAAAAATAAAAAATGTTATATCCATCCAATATCTTTCCATTCTTATCTCTATCGTCTTTCACGTAAATATCCACATCTACTACATATATATCTTCAATTAATTAGCAACCTGGAAAGAAGAAACCCGTTAATTTGTTCCTCTACTTCGTTGTAAGCTATATACTGTTTTTTTTTTTATGATAATTTATCAGGTTAGCAAGAGTCAATTGAATCGTTATCAGGAAGAAAACTCAGCACCTTATTCAATACGACTTGAACTTTTAGACGCTACGAATAACATCATAGATTTTCGAAGTAACTATCTGTCTCATTATTATGTATTGAACGAAATATTGAAAAACGTTTCTAAATCAAAATGAAAAGAGAAAATCAAGATGACACCCGCATGGATACACGCATACACAAAGAAGGGCGGAATACAAAATATGAGAACATCATGGCGAGGGATTTTTGGCGTCAGACATTTAAGCTTCAATAATTCTGGGACTCTCAGGCAGCAATATTCAGTTTGGTTTTCTTTGAGTTTACTATAGAATTTCAATGCGATTGATGTCCAGATAAGAAGTTGACTCGCGGCTATGTTGTCTGTTTTGGTGAATATTGAACTACAGTCATCGACGTCAACAAGCTTCGTTTATGAATAGAAACGCTTGTCATTGAAGACGTGAGAATGAATTAGATATAATGGCTTAAATATAAAAGTGGCAGATGTATGGCGTTTGTTTAGGAAGTCATCTTCTGCAAATGATAAAGTGAAAGAAAAAGGAGCTACAAATTGAGGAACATCCTGACAAATGAGAAAGAGGAAATCCGAAACCATAGTCGAGAAAATGGGGACAAAAATTAATATGAACAGAGAAGTTATAGAAGAAGAAAAATGGCGTTGATGAAGAGAAGTGTTTCTTGCGTTTGGTCTTTGTTTCAGCTGGATTTCTCAGTAGCCTAGAATTTAATTTAAATGTTTAATTTTTGTTCATTTCTAACATTTATATTTCTGAGATAAGGTATTGTAACTATTTACATTATTTACATTGTTTGGACTGTTTTCCTCATCTTTATTGCCATATTCACCTTCAACATCTGTCTCTATTTCTGAGATGAGGTATTGTAACTATTTATATTATTTACATTTTTCGGACTATTGATTTTACCGTCACATTTACGGCTTTTTGTTCTTCAGTTTATATCTGTTTGAATTTCCAAAGGAACTCAGAATAGTCAATCTGTATGTTGGTGTTTCTGAAGATTGGTTCGATGACGTTCTGGTAGACGTTCTTCCCATGTTTATATCCTGAAATGGATTGACATGTAACATTCACATTCCTAGGTCGCCTAGTAAAGGCAATGAGTACATCTTCCATATCCTCCCCTTAATGCTTTCAAATATCGTGACAGGGAATTGTAAAAATAAGTTAAAAAGAGAAAAAAGAGGAAGAAATGAAAAAGAGAAAAAAGAGAAAATGGTAAAGATAGAAAGAAGAGGAAGAATTTAATAGAAAGAAGAGAAAGAAGTTAAAAAGAAAAAGAAAAAGTTAAAATGAGCAAGAAGAGGAAGACATTAAAAAGAGAACGAATAGGCAGAAGATAAAAGGGGAAGAAGAGGAAGAAATGAAATCGAGAAAAAAGAGGAACAAGTTAAGAGAAAGAAGAGAAAGACGTTAAAAACGGAAAAAAGAAGAATTTTTTTAGAGAAGAGTAAAAAGTTGTAAAAGAAAATAAAGAGGAAAAAAGAAAATGGAGAAGTTGAAAAATAAATAGAAGATAAGGTGGAAGAAGCTGAAAAAGAACATGAGTTCGATAAAAGGAAAATTTGCTATTTAAAAACCGAAAGCGTGGCTGGGATTCCCCGAAAGATCAGTTTTTCTCTCCAGAGATATGTTAGCAAGTCTCAAACAGTAGTAACCGCCCTAGAATAAATATTGCTCAAAATATTTACGACTGAATATCGATTCGGCATTGATAAAAAAAAAAACGAAGAAAGAAATATGTTATAAAATATTTAGGTGCGTTTTACATTCGACCAAGATGCGTTCAGTTTGATGACTTGATAGAAAAGCTTCTGATTTTTATTCATTCATTTGGAAGCTCTCTGTAGTTGTATTGAGAAAATCAGTTGGAGAAAGTGGACGGACAAAATAAATGCAAAAGGAGGAAGAAAAAAGAAAAGAGAAAGGGGAAATATAAGAACAAAGAAAAGGAATATGTAAACGTATGTGAGAAAGAAGAAGAGAAGGAAGCCAAAGAAATGTTAAAAAGATGAAAAAAGAAAAGAAAAATGACAAAAAAAGACAATGGAGGAAGCAAAAACAAAAATACGAATAATAATAAGAATAACAGCAACTACAGCAAGAAGAAGAGTAGAAAAAGAAGAAGCAAGAGAATGGGAAGAAAGAGAGACAAAAAAAGCAAGACAAAATGAAGGAAAATGCAAGAAAAATAAAAAGTAAGAAAATTAGAAGAAGAAAAAGTAGAGAAAAAAGGCTAAAGAGAAGGAAAATATGAAGGAAGAATAATAATACAACGAATAGTTGTAAAAAAGGACAAAAAAACGAAGAAGAAAGTCGTAGAAAAGAGGTGAGAAGAAAATATGGAAGTATAATCTCCATGAAATATACAAGAAAATGAAAGAAAGTGACATGAAAAACAATAAGAAAGAAAGAAAATAACAAGAAGAAAGAAGGCAATTTGAAAAAGGATAAAGAGAAAAAAAGTAGAGAAGATACAGAAAAAGAAGAAAAGAAACTTAAAGAGAAGGAGAGGTAAAATTCAAAGCAAAGAAAATAAAATGGAAGGATAATCAAAAACAAAGTTAAAAAGAGAAGAAGAAGAAGAAGAAGAAGAAGAAGAAGAAGAAGAAGAATGCAAGATAATAAGAATAAAAAGAGGAATAAATAAAAAACGATAAATGAATAAAGAAAAAACTGGGATATGGTTTTAGAAGATGTCGAGCAAAGAGGAAAAGAAAAGATAAACGGAGAACGAAGCTTTCAGCCGGAAGCAATAGATAGATGCGTGAAAGCCGAGTCAGGGTTAAAGGTCACGTTTGGCTGAGAGTTGCCGGAGGCCATACCTTTTGTTCGGTCAACTAAACAGTCCATCCAGGCTCTCGTCTGCAAAGTCGAAATAGGCTTAAATCATCATTAGATATAGAATTGCAGCATCCATCTTTCTTCTTTTCCTTCTGGCCAAACACGAAATAAGTTATTTAACAGATCAAAGCTCAAAGCTCAAAACTTACCCCCCATCTACTCAATCTCTCTCCCTCCTTCCCTACCATCACTACCTTACACGATAAGGTATGCGTTCTTACACAAATCTTCAGGCGACCGTTACAAGGATATTATATGTTCTGTTGATTAGATACCCCAACAAAAAAACGATAAACAAACGACCACTCGAATATTTGAAAAGGTTTTCCTTTCTGCATATGCATAGTATTTACACTGTTTATACATAGATGACTTGTCCATATAAGTTATTTATTTTTATGACTTTATTTTTTTGTTCGCTGGATTCTGTTTCTTTTTTTCTTTCTTTTTGTTTCCATTCGCATATCTTTCTTTTTTCCTTCTTTTTCATTCTTTGCATTTTCTCTCTTTCTTTCTTTCTTTCTTTCTTTCTTTCTTTCTTTCTTTCATTCTTTCTTTCTTTCTCTTCTCGTTTTTATTTCCTTATTTTTGATTCTTTGCATTTTCTTTATTTCTTTTTCGTTCGTTAGATCCTTCTTTCTTTTCCTTTCATTTATCTTGTTTTCCATTTTTCTTTCTTTATTTTTACTTCTTTTTATTCTTTCTTTTTTCTTTTTTTGATCCATATTTTTTCATTCTTTTTCGTTTGTTGGATTATTCTTTCTTTCTTTCTTTCTTTCTTTCTTTCTTTTAACATTGCGAAACGTACCTGAAGCGGATCAATTTGTGTCTATTAAACAACCCAAAGTTGCTCTTTCACAAAATCCGTTCATTTTGGTTCCATTTTTTTTATTTTCCCAAGTTCTCAATGTTTGCATTCATTCGAAGCCGTTATTCCTCGCATCAGTTCGTTCTTGTAAAAACTAGAATACAATAAAAACGTATCTTCTCCTTTTAAAACTCATTGCTCAACTGAACTGTAATATTCAAGAATTTCATTACATTACCCTCTGAATTGATTGAAGATAGCGTGCTAATCTATCTGTTAAAACTTTCACGTAATGTTACTTATTTTCAAAGTATTGTTATTTATTATAGACATATATTTCCGACTTCCGTTCTTATCTTATGAACGTTTTGGTCACTGTATCCTCTTGCCATTGTAACAAGACATGTTTTATGGCCGTTAACAAAAGAGACGATCCAAGATGTGAACTACGAATTGTAGACATGGAAAGCATCTAAGTTCAGAAATTTAGCTATATGGGAAATGTGTTATAACAGACAATGGAAAATGTGACAGAAAATTCCGCATCGAAACATCAAAAGATGCTTTTAATCGCTAAGCAAACTATTAAGAAACAGGAGAATTTCGGTAGAAACGAAAAATGAGTGGAATTACTATTTAATATTAGTTCTCCTCTAATGCAGATGAAAAGGGGACTTGAGGTCACAGAAATCTGTTTCTGTAGAAGGATGCTGAGAATATAGTGGGCAGAGCATATGGCCAACGAAGAGGTTTTAAGGAAAATTTAACCAAAAATGAAGCTTGTAATTAGAATCATAAAGAGGCAGTTTAAATTTCTGGGCTATATGATGCGGAAAATGGGCTTGGAGAATTTGACACTCACAGGACATAATGAAAGTAAGAAGGACCTCGTTAGGTAGGAAACTCGACCTTTCCTTTTACCTAACGAGGTTGTGCAAATGAATAGCATGACAGGGACTAGAAAGGATAGTAAAACTACGAAGGATAGGAAGTTGTGGAGAGCCAGGATCTCACACGTCCTGAATGGATATGGCACATAGAAGAAGTAGAAGATCATCATATCTATCTCATGTATCTTTTGTATTCAGTCTTCTTTTAAGAAATCTTGATTGGAAGTTGTTATTTCATCCACGACATATAGTGAAGATATTGACGTTCCAAACTGTACTCCAAAGAAATGGTTAATAAGGAAGACCCATCAATACTGAAGAATTAGATTACAGTTAATGAACTTGAGAAGCCTACTTTACTGAAAAAATGTTTGAATAGAAAATATTAACAGACAGTAGCAATGATTGTTTGGCCAATGAATACCGAATGTTTCTTTATAAGGAAACAACTAATTTTTACCAGGAAAAAGATCCTTAGGTATTTGTCGCACTTAGCATCCTTCACCAAGATTTCAGACTTTGAAAATCTCAATTTTCACTTTGTGTTGGCCAACTTCTCCCTTTTGAACCAATAATATTCTTACTTTTCTGAATCAGAAATTGAACTTGTCACGTCTTTTTATCTTCTGTTCTCCAGAAGAATTATTTTTCTTTTTCTTCTATAGGACACTCAAATAGTATCATTTTAATTGAAATTGAAATGATTTCTTTGTTAATACCCCTATAAGGTATTTCTATTTGAATAGTTTGTGTAGAGACTATGCCATGATTTTAATCGTTTTTTTCTAATGTTACTTCGACGTTGTAGTAGTTCTCTATATATATTACATCAGAGGAACTTCATAACCAGAATCTGCAAAGCTTGCTCGGTGAAATGTCTTGTGTTTGTTTGGATTCAAGTGTTTTTTTTTTCATTACAGATTATTGATATTTAAATGAGTCGCGGGGTGTCACTCAACACGTTTGAATGGTGCATTGAAAGAAAAACATATTGACCAGTAATTTTACTGTACAATAAACAACACTAAAGTTGTAAATATTACACAGAAAATGATTATTATAGCACATCGCATAGAGTTATCACTTGTTTCTATGTAACACCTTTTGGTCATTGAATCGTTTGAACAAACTCCGTTCTTCAAAGAAGAAGAGGTGCTCTCCTCGACAGCCATTGTTCAGATGACACAAACTTGTTTCATCTTAGACCGACTCCACGCATCCTCTTCCGAGACAAAAAAAAAATTCATACAAAATTTTTTTTGAAACGATCCACCCATCTGGAACTATATAAACCGCCATCGGTTCGACTTCGGGACAGAAGACATCCGAACTACCAGGGACATTTACCGCCCACTTTGGCTGGGAACTCACTCACCAAAGACACCTAACTAATGAAGTCCGACGCCAACAACCGAAGAGAGCTACATAGAAACCAATTTACCGATGTTAAGAGCAATACCACTACGCGAAGAAAGCCTCCATTCTTATTATTCGACAAAGCTTATGTACGTGTTTATTTACGACGCAATACCAACTCATACGCGTATACGGCGGTAGAATCCAGGGATGAACTCTCTAATCATTTTTGTATAACGTCCGAAGAGAAAGTATAAATAATTCTGTCTTTTCACTTTAAAAGCACATCTCTATTGTTGGCTGTGGGTAACTCTCATTATTTTTAGGTCTACGTATAATAATCTAACTCTTGCAACAATATTGAGACAGTGTTTTTTTTTAAATCACAATTTATGGAAGCAAAAACAGAATCGTTCTTTAAGGATGGAATAAACAAAATAGACGAAAAATGACGTAAACCCATAAAAATACAGAGAACATATTTTAACCAGGGAAAATAATGCTGGAGATTTTTTTTTTTTTTTTTTTGCATCAATCCGACTCCTTCACTTTAGTTTGCTTATTTTAGTTTTATTAGCTGCTGAGCGGAATGCTTTTAAATAGTTAGAAATTATTATTATTATTATTATTATTATTATTATTATTATTAATAATTCTGGTAGCAGGGAAAGTTTCGTTGGAAAGTAAGGTGGGTTTTCAAAATAATGCCTGTATTTTTATTTTTATTTTTATTTCGTGAATTCCCTTTCATTTTGCTATTCTTTTTTCCTCCCTTTCAGAACGAAAGAAAACAACGTCAACACCCCCGTCGTAGCCCTTTATCTGCATATCGAGAAGGAGAAAATAACACAGAACCTCACATCTCCTGTGGTTATTAGTCTACCATATTTGGATGTAAGTATGCATAGTTTTGAACAACGGTTTGGGATTGATAGACATGGCAGCAGTAGTGAATTGGGTGACATGCAAAGAACCATTAAATTTAAAACTGATTTTCTTGTTAGTATTACAAATTCTTCTTCTTCTATGTGCTGTGTCCATTCAAAGCGTAAGGTTTGGGTTTTTGCTATCGTTCCTAATCCCAATTCTGCCCATCAATTATATAAGCACCTTAGCTCGTAGCTTTCCCTTGTCCCTTTTGACTTCAATATGTCCCCTGAGTGCCAAATTCTCCAATCTCTCTTTCCTCATTACGTTCCCTAGAAATTTCATTTGTCGCATTTTAATTCTATCCCTTTTTCCATTATTCTTTAAAATTCTTCGTTATTCACATGTTCAGTTCATGACATTCTCAGCTTCCTTCTGTAGAAACAATTTCTGTAGCATCACAAGTTAGCCAAAACACACACGCACACATGCACACACACACACGCACACATGCACACACATCTTTCTCTCTATCTCTCTATATATTAGAGAGAAAGAGGGAACGAGAGAGAGAGACAAATGGAGAGAGAAAGAGAAGAAAGAGGTTAAAAGAAAATGAGTTTTATAGATTGGTGGTTGAATAATACTGTTTCCATCTGTACAGTAGATATACTTAACTCTTTCTTTCTACAATTAGATGCCGGAAATTACGATGCGTTGAGCAGATCAAAAGAAATTTTCTTTATGATTTAATCTTTTCAAGAACTGAAGTTTATAAAAAGTACTTTGTAAATAATTGGAATGAGTTTTTTTTTTTTTTTTTTTCAAATTTCTATATATTCAGTCTCCTCCAATGGATCAGTTGGTTACCTAAAATGACTTTTTTTTCCAAGATGGACACCACTACGATTCCATAACCGTTATTAAATTATAGCGCATGGAATATGTACAGAAATAGTTGTTACGTTTATAAATAAAAGTAAAAGAAAAATAAATTTAATGAAAATGAAATAGTTTATTTTTAGTGCTTGGAACCATTAATATTGAAAAAAAAAAAACTTCTTAGTGCATATGAACAACTTTTAATC